AAAAAAAAAATGAAAAAAAAAAAAAAAAAAAAAAAATTGGCGTCAAAGTTTGACTCGGGAACTTGGTTTCAATGTCACACGCATACACAGAATGAAAGTTCTCACGCCAAACGGGTTGAACATGTTCGATTTTTCGACTAGACTGACATTGTGATAAATATTTAACTTGCCTATGTTAAAAAAAAAAAAAAAAAAAAAAAACTAAAGAACGAAGGGTATAAAAAAGATACCGGTAGGTGTAAGCATAGGTCGACGATGATAATGATGGAAAGTAAGGGGTGGTGATAAGCGTCGAAACGAAGTAAAGTGAAAAACCGAGTTGAGACGATAAAATTACAATTAAACGCAAGACGCGTCCGTAAGAGGATGTCGTACAGATGAGACATGGATCAAAAAAAAAAAATGAATAATCGTCTGTATATATGTATAGCGTGTATTTTATCTTAAAGGATATAAAAACAATTTTAAAAAAATAAAAAAAAATAAAAAAATATAATCGGTTAAGTAAAGTCGAGAAGACGAAGGGGAAAAAATGAATAAATATTAAGAAATTAGAAAAAAGAATCGAAGGGATTTGAAGACAGTGCGAAAGTATACGTATACAGACACGACATGAAAAGGATGTGTATGTATAGACACATGACGAAGAATCAAAAGATGAAGCAAAATAATCGGATCAACACGCAGTTGTAAGCATTTACTTTCACACACATACACACAAAGAAACCTACAAACGACGACGACTTGTCGCGATGATAAAGAAAAAAAAACAAAAAAAAAAAAAAAAACGCGACAACTCCGAGTCACCGCGATTGTTATAACAAAAATAGTTCTTTATTGTGACGCGACTCATTCATATCCTGTTAACGCAATTCGCAATGTACACACGTTCATCAAAATATAATACGTGTACAAGCGAAGCAGCTGGTTATAGTTTTTAAATGACAATAGACAAAGTAAATATTTTTAATTGGCCTTTCGTTGTACGAATAACGTTTCCCGTTGACACTTTTTTTAAATCAGATTGGTGCTGACAAAGATTAAACGATATAAAGGATTTTCCAGGGAGGGTGATGTCTATACGATATGATATATATATACACACATATACATGGGAGGCAGTCTTTTTTTTTTTTCTCTCCCTCTCTCTGAGAGTGAAGGAGACGGACGAACGGAGGGAAACGCTTTGGAAGAAGGCTGAGACACCGCTGTAGCGCTCTAGGAGTAATTAGGATAGTCGATAATGAATTGTAGCTCGAGTTGAAAGAAAATGAACAAAAAAAAGGAAAAAAAAAAGAAAAAAAAAAAGAAAAAAAAGAAACGAAGTCACGAAAGGGGAAAATCCGCGCAAGCACGAACGTGTAGGTTGAAAATCGTCATTAGCGTCTCGCTCTTGCGCCGAGAGATATTTCTCGCGTCTCATCATTCGTCATTCGTTATCATTCATCGCCCCTTGTCATGTCCTCACAGTCATTATTCATTACCATTACTTCGCGTTATCATCATCATTATCATTATCATCGTCATTAAAATTATATTTTTCTCACCCCTCCCCTTCTCAACCCTATCCTTTCATCAACTTCGTCGTTATTATTGTCTTGAACGTGATCGTCATTGGACTTCATTCGTACATTTCGTGGCAATACTTAAAACAAATTTTACGTACTATAGGATAGTCTTTTAAATTTCTACATTAAGACGTGTGATCTCTCTTTTTATTAACTGTATATTACACAATAAACACTATGATCTACACTTTAGTATGAGATACGGTATATAAATATATATATATATGAATATAAATATAAAGATTAAATGAATTAAAAAAAA